TTGCTAGCCGTATAAGAGGCTTGAGCGGTTTCCGCCCAAGTTGGAGAACTCTGAGGAGAACCCCCGCAAGGGAGGACTCCATAACCATCTGGAGGAGGAGAACTTCACGTCTCGTGAAGATCTCTAAGCGCTGCGGAGCCTATCGAACCCAGCGTGTACCTTAAGAAGGCTATAGGGGTCTGGCCTCTCCCCGTCGCCGAGCGCAATCCTTCGATGAACCCCTTCTTCCCTGCGCGCAAGTTCCACGGAGCTTAGCAAACTTCGTGTGAGTGTATCCAGAGCTTTCTGCTTCGAGTTGTTTTCTTCGGTTGACACGACGGGCTCACGTGTTTAGAGCCTTCAACCGGATTGGGCTAGAGGTTCGCGTGGAAGGAACTCTTGTCCGCCTCTCTTCTTTTCTATCTGTAACCGCAACCCAAGCAAGTTTTCCTGCCTGCACCGCGACCATCTTCGGTGTAAGTAAAATAATCTTTAATCAACCGCTAAGCGTCCGTGCTTAATTCTAGCCCGCCGGCCTGCATTCCCCGACCCGGCGTGTCCGGGCTGCTGGCCACAGCCCGCTGTGCGCAGGCCCCCGAGGGCCTCGGACCGCTCCCGGCCCGCACACCAACAAAATAGGTTAACCTATTTTCAGTCTTCATGTAACTTAAAAAAAACACTTTTATGTATAGTATTGCTAGATTGCCATACCAGCTACCCAGTATTTAACAAAATAATTATTCAGACATTTTAAGAATGAAATGTGCTATAGAGTAGCTGTAAAAATGGCTCACCTGGTAACATCACCTTTCTCTGTACATGGGACATTATCTCCAGTTCCAGTTATCTTCTTTAGCCCCAACCCTGAATGCCCATTCCATACAGGTGGATTTTTGTGTTTATATAAGGAGCTCTTCCGTAGTCATCTGGCAGGAAAACCATGCCTCCTGATGTTGTCTTGATTATATGTCCCAAACCTAAGGAACCTCATAATAAAATGTTTGTCATCAAGACTAAAAAGCCTCTCCAGACCAGAGATGAGGCACATGCAGGTGGTGATGATGAGAAGTTTGTATTAAGGATTACTATAGTCCACATGTACCAATTAAGCTCTTTGTATTATTAACCTAACCCAAACATTAGTCTTATTATACATGCAGTGCCATTCACAAGAGATGTTCATAGATATTCTTCTCCTAAGGTTTGAATTTGCAGGTAGCCCTGAAGATACTAGTATCCCAAGGGTTAATGTGATATTCAGCATTCATTTTATAGCTCTCCATTGCCCTCTGCTGTCTCATAAATCTGATACTTTCAACTAACTGGGAAAAATGTCCAAGGGAAATTTCAGGTTAAGAAATCCTCTACACTGAAATCAACAAGAGGTTAAAATTGCTTTAAAAATTATAAGCAGAATTATTTTAGTCTTAAATATGTATTGTATTTACATGCCTCATAGAGTGTGTCAATATTTAAAGAACAGAAAACTAAAAGGAAGACATTTTTATTGGTTTATTTGATAAGGGAAGAAAAGCACCAGCTGCAGTTGTTTCACGTTGTCAGTTCCTTTGCCTAGTA